TATTGTGAGGTTTTAACCACCCAATCTACTGATATTCTACATAAATCCACTAATGATGTTCAAGTGCTTCGGAAAATAAAAATAGAAGATAATGTGAGTACAGCAACTAACAGTACAACCACTGATACACAATGGACACTATTTGAGCATTTTATGCTAATGGAGTCGTACAAATCTACAATCGATAATGGACACTGGCTTGAAGATGCACATATTAACTTCGCTCAAAAGCTACTAAAGCATCAGTTTCCGAATAGTATAGGGTTGCTATCAACAAATTACCAAAATAAATTTAAGCTCACTATGGCACCAAACCTTGTTCAGATTTTGCACTGTAGAGGGAATCACTGGGTTGTCATTTCTAACGACAATATTGATGATTCATGTACAACGGTAAACCTTTGACACATTGTTCGACAATGTTGACAATGGAACTCAAGAAACAAATAACAATATTTTTAGTAAGGCCATGCAAATTAATGTAATTACCATTCAGAAACTGAAAGGAGTCAAAGATTGCGGTGCTTTTACTATTGCAATAGCCACTGGATTGCTCCACAAAACACCATTGAAGACATTTAATCAACATCTGCTACGACCTCACCTTATTTCTTGCTTTGAAAATTATACATTGACACCATTTTACTAATAATTAATTTGACAAAAGTTAATTGTGTGATAATAATTTAAAATTTAATTGTGTTTAATAATTTTAATATTGTGTTTAATGTTACCAGACGAGTGTTACAGTTGAAGTGCATCTATAATAGCTGCTTCTTTGAAGCCATTAATTATAAGTGTAGGTTTTGACCGAATATAACGAGACAGTTCCCTTATCCATTTAGCACCTAGAGTCTTCATCACAGTTAGCCTTAGATCAACGGAGTCACACTTGTCTTGCTTTAACTGTTCATGAATCTTGTTGGCATAACATGATTGAAATTGCGATCGAAGAAAGTCTTTGGCAGCCTTATTTAAACTTAAAGGGTAACTCAACCCAAAAACTTTTTTCGCAGAAATAAGTTGGTAATAAAGAAAAAATCATAGGAAAAATAAGTAAAATTATCAAAAAGTACTGTTTCCATACTAAATCTTGGGTCAAAAGTTGCAATTTCTTGCCTTGCAGCCATTTTGTCAAAATCACTTCCGGTTGTGGGCGTGGTCACACGATGACGTACATGGGGGAACATTAGCAAGTTTCTGCATTGAAATATTAGCAACTTCAAGGCTGGATATCTCAGCTATGCGTGCAAGAAAGCAGCTAAGAGGCATTTTCA